AATATAGACGGATAGTTAGAAGCAGTCAAACAAGAGCGAATGATGTACAATCGATCAGTAATCAAACTATGCTCCCTGGCGCAAAACGACGCGCGACCTCCGTCATGGGTCTAGGTACTCACTTCTGTAACTAGAGGTGCATATAAAACGAAGAAGGGATGAACAACCTTACTGGCCACCGGCTTCTCAGTGAACTGCTACTGAACATAGAGAAAGCATACGAGCCACCCGGATGTCAACGGTCTTCATTAATCGCCCTGTTGCCTTGCGGGTTAGGTCTTAAGACCAAAGCCTCGGGGTGGGGTCCCATAAGTCAACCCTCTTCCTCGGCCTGTGCAACCGGGAAGATCTCTCCCCACACAACGCATTAACCTTCTAAACTTTCCAAATCCCTTCACTGACTACCCGTTTTCTCTTTTTGTTGTTGGTAACTATGTGTTGTAGCACTGTCAATTGTACATTGCTCAAGTGTTGAATAATAATAACACAGTGCGTAAAACATGCGAACTATCTTTTGAGTCGCTACGTGCTCCCAAACATTTTAATTCAACGCTGAAGAAGAGCAGCGTGTGCGGTCTTCGGTTAACCTGAATGAGTCACATTCGTTGCGTGGTATTCGCCTATACAAACTTCGTCACTCCCGATATTTGAAGTGATTTAGCAGCTATGACCATCTTGATGGCTCTACCACCTTTGTATTACTTTGCTGTCCTGCGACCTTGGCGCTCGTTCAGAGTGTTCAGCGGAAACCGATGATATCACGTTGCCACTTGCACAGCCCGTTGAAGAAGTGCGCTTTCTCCGCTCAGGCTCAGACCAGGCTGAGACCATACAGTGTATTGACTGAGATGCATTTTTGAAAACCACTCATATGAACTATTTTTATCACTGCGACAGATTTCGAATTGGGAACAGTGCCCATTTATAGTTGTTTCATATAGACATTCCGCTCCACAGCAAGCTGCTTTCTGTTTGTGCTCCCCGTGTGGTTGAAATAGTAATCGGTAACACCGTGTCTATCACCTGGACGAGTTGATAACTCGGTTGAACCGATTTTGTGCGTGTCATTTGCATTAATGTTTTCTAGTCCGTTGAAGCGTGGATGTCCATCTTCTAGATGTTTAGCGTTCCACTATTTTAGCAAATCTTTCAGGAACGCTTCCTGCTTGTTTCGAGCTCATCAGTGTAAAGGAGCTCTATCAAAGTCGCCGTTCTCTGTATCCTGTAGGGAATATTTAGCGGAAGTCCGGATGGCGATTCCAGAAAACGGATCTGGTTGCAGAGAAACTTTTATTTCGCAGCAATAGGTTCCCTGTTTGTATAGCTGTAAAAATCGATACCGATAAATGCCGCTAGCCAGGGGAACGGAAAATGCACAGCACACCAAGCGATCGCGCCTTTCAATGGCCGACTCAAACGATCAAACTCAACAACCAGTTCAACAATCTGCATCGGTCGCCTACGTGTACATTGTAACAATAATTTTAGTTAGCACTTTACACGGGCAAACCGGGGGAATCTCCAAACTGCCATATAGCCCTCACCCAGAAGGGACTGTGTAAGCAGTCCTTCGATCTTCGTGAGGACTGTACGTTGCGGGCCAGCCTTCTGCGAGACCAGGTTGGGAAACCTTATGCAGCTGTTGGGAGAGAACCTCCCTACGGTGTTGAAGCGGAAAAAAATGTTTCTGGGGAACAGTTCGTAAATTTCACGTAGCTGGTTTAGCAGGAAGTTCGTTGTGCTTCCAGTTGAGGTGCGGGGTAACCAAGAATCGATCAGCCCGCTGTGTGGATTTGGAAAGCAGAATGTAAAAGTGCAGCGTAAAAGTACTGCAATACACAGAGGCGTGCAAAACGAAAAACGTGCGAAGCTGTTTTCGGGTTTTCAAAAGGTTTTACTGTTTATTGGTGGTTTCAAAACGTTTCGCCTTTTTCGTGGACTTTGGAAAACGTTTGTAGGAGTGCGGAAGTGTGAGAAGCATGCTCTAGGTAAAATAATAAGCTCTAACAAACTTGGGAAAACGTACTGGAGGTTTGAGTTCCCTACCACGCCGATTGACAGTAAGGCGAATGGGGTTGCGGTCTGTTGAATCTGTTGGTTCCGCTGGAGCGGAGTGACTGGTGATGTTGCGGTGCTGCCCGTAATGGCACGGTCTGCGAAGGTTCTTGTTGCACCGACGAACCAAAGGCGGTCGAGGAATGCTGGCTTGATTCGGTCGATGTTGATCGTCTCAGTTTTACCATTGTAGTCAATAGTAAAAATCTTGTCGCTTCTGCGTACGGCTCGGTGCGCGTCAGAATAAGCAGGTTGGAGTGGTTGGCGTACGCTGTTTGTGCGAACAAATAGGTGCGTACGAGTGGCTAACCATTCATCCACCTTTGTACACAAGCTCTGTGCTCTAGGTTGCACAGACTTAAGTTGTCACGTGTGATAATCTAGTCGAGCTGCGTAGTCGTCATAGTCAGAAGTTGTTGGTGCATTTCGTGAGACAAGTTCACTAGGTAAGCGTTGTGTACATCCAAAGACTAGCGAAGGAGTGGCGTGCAAATCCGCTTTAGTCGTGTTCATTATGTCTAAGAGAACAAGCGGAAGTGCTTCTTGACAGGGCACTGAGTAGTACTTTGAATTGCCGGTGGAACCATTCTATCATCCCATTAGTTTCGGGGTGGTATGCAGGGATTCAGTTGTCCTGGCAAACAACTACATTAAAAAGTTTTATAAATGATCCGTCAAAGTATGATCCTCTGTCAGTGTTGACTACGCTTGGACAACCAAATTGAGCTATCCAGCATTCTGCGAAAGCGTGTGTAACTGTCTCAGATGAGCAGTTGATTATCGGAATCGCTTCTGTCGACACAGGTGAGGAGATACACGTAGCTTTTGCATAGAGACAAAAGTCCGACCAGGTCGACACGGACGTGTGCGGGACGCGAGTCAGGAGCTGGAAAGACGCCGAGTTGGCTTCTGGTGTATCTGTACACCTTGGCCCGCTGACACTGTAAACATGTGCGAGCCTAAGTGCGAACATCGCGACTGATGTTGGGCCATACGAAGCGTTCGGTTACTGGCTTCTCTGACGCACGTATAACGAAATGCGACAGATTATGCAGTGCACTATAGACGAGCCGGCGCATTGTTGTAAAAACTACGGGGCGGGGAGTAGTTTGTAAGTCGTCACAAAGAATGCTCCGTTCATATAAATTTATTGGAACTTTGCGGAGTTTCAAAGACGCGGTGCATCGAAGCTTGCCTATGTCGGGATCAGCTTGTTGAGAAGCAGCCATGGTGGTTAGATCGATTTTGGTTCCAGATGATAAGCTTATCTGGTTGATGCGTGAAAGGGCGTCCGCGACGAGGCTAAAAACGCCTGAGACATGTCGTACGTATGTTGCGAACTGAGAGACGTAGCCCAGGTGTATACTTTCCCGCAGAAAATATTTGTCTGTCGCGCCATTGATTGCGTAGATCAGTGGCTTGTGGTCAGTGAAGGCTGTGAAATGTCGGTATCCGAGATACTGACGGAAGTGCCTGATATCTAGCTAGATTGATAGTAGTTCCCCGCCCAAGGTACTGTAACACGATTCGGCAGGCTTGACGAATAGTTTTCAAACAGATTTTAGGCGAATTCCTCTATATATTTTTTCGCACATCTGTTTCCCATATCTCATTTTCGGTGTCCGTTTCAAGATGGCACTGCTGTGCTTGAACTCAAATGCCACTTGAATGGTCGCAACTGCGACATTGTCGTTCAACTTTGTTGGGATAAGTATCCCATTGAACTGGTTATTTACACCCGTGGATTGGTGTGTTACGGATTGCCAACCATTTTTGCACGCGACACCGCCATCATAACAACATCTGATTGTAATACTAGGTCCTGATGGTAATACATAAATTATCACAGTTCACGGTTAGAGCATTTTAGACGAAATTAGCGAGCCGGTTCTTGAAGTAGAACACTAAAACTATTTGGTGAATGCATTGCTATTCAAATAATTGTGTTGCTGGTGATCTAATGGAGAACTTGCACCAATGCGTACACTTTAGTCCTTATTCAACCATAGGTCTTTCACTTAGCGCTAACGATTTCCCCAGTTCATTTTCCAGCTTTTATTCGTTACTGGGTACAAAACGCAACAGTTGTTTGCTTCCGATACTGTCCCAATGGTTGAATCGACTGAGGTTCACTTCTATGCGAATCGGGGTCCAGATTGGTGGTTATGTGATCCGTAGCGCATCGGAGTGTCGCTACAGCAAGTCAACAAGTAATATGTTGTCGAGCGTAGCCTAGATTGCGATTGTTCCTTCCACTTCTCTTTGTCTTCTCATTTCGTCTTCAGTATCGATAGAGCAGCAATCTCATGCTTGTTTTCCCTCCTCTGACGCGTTTCGATGTTATTTCATCTCATCAGATAGAGATGGCAGACATCGAACCCGGGACCATTGGGTTCAACAGTCTCTGAAGGAGTAAACACGCACGAGAGATTGCTGCTCTATCGATACTGAAGGCCAAACTATGAGGCAAAGAGAAGTGGAATCTAGCCTACGCTCGATGACATCTTACCTGTTGGCTTGCTATAGCGACACTCCGGCGCGCTACAGATCCATTCGCACAACTCCAGTGCTTCAAAATGACCCAATCAGTTTGTCTTACATTTTCCGCCGCATGTAGCGCACTCAACGCCTTTGTGATCACTCATTAAATGGTAATACGGTTCGAACAGAATTATATCAAACGTCTTTAAAGTCATTTGAATGATATCCTCACTCTTTTCTTCTGCCAAGTACGAGTATACTTAGACCACAAACTTCACCCAGTTGCAACATTACTTTGATGGAGCACAAAAGCCACTAGTCTTTCGAACTGATAGTGTAGTCAAAATTTAGCGGTCAGTGTCATTGGGAATAACTTGCAAACATTAGATGCTGCCCCTCAGTCGAAATGCTAATTGTTCACGATAGTGTTGCTACTTTAAAGCATTTTTCTTTCTGTTCTGTAGGTCAGAATACATGTCCCAGCGACAGCCAGTGCGTGACTTTCGAACAGACTTATCGCAACGCTGTAGACTTTTGCGAGTCCGTCTGGGATGATGCGTGGCGCGTTGAACACTCGGACCAGTGTATGCATTTTGTCCCTCACGGAGGACCGTTTCAGCAACACAATCGGGAAGTCGCTAGGGCTAAAGCCAGGGAGATAGTGCAGAGGTTGTCTTCGCTTAGTGTAAGACCTACCATCGCCGGACTCCTGTGCAACTTGCTCATAGGTCTCATTTTTCATACTGCGCTTTGGTTCTAAAGATCCCATGCCTTCACATCATTAAATTTTACACAATCACAGACCTTAGTTTTGTAATTTTATAAGAAAAAAGTTATTTTTTTCCAAAAATTGTTAAACTGAAATCAGCGCTAGGTCCAGGAACTCCACTTTAGCCGGGTCTTTCTACTTGTTTCATACACCAGTGTCTCTTACGGATACGTCTGGGCGTACCCTTTGTTGTTCTCATTGTTTTTACTGAATTCTGCCAAATCCCTTCTCCCTTATCTTGTTTTTTTATTTGATTATTTTCACACGATTCACTGTTCTTATCTGCATAACGTCTTTTCTTAGTTCACTCAGCAACTTGTTTGAATCTACCCTTCTTGTCACAAACCACGTAAACATTCCATTGAATCAAGATCCATATCATAGACTTTAAATTCGAAATAAATTTCTTCGGTATACGTTGTGGCTTCTTGTGCCTGATTTGTTTTCACCATCAAGCCTTCCTAAACTAACTAATTCTTGGAATACCACCGAAATCCCACGTTGAATCATTTACTGATGCAGCACATCGCTTGCATGGTTACTTGCTAGTAGGCAGCCACAGTTGTGGAGATACGAAAGGCGTCCATGGACCATACTATCTAAGGCCTAACGACCGGCTGAAAGACTACATGTTCGTAATAAATCCATCTCTCCAGAACGGCGACCTTTAGGGTTACTGGATTTTAAGCTCTTGGCTCGTGATATGTCTTACTCTTCCTCTTAGTCATTGGCATCTGTGTTGGCTGACTACTTATCGCGGATGCAAAAGTGTTTATCCTAAGAAAATTTACGCCGTTACATGGGTCCAGGTGCATTTGAAGAATCTCAAGTGTTTTCGCTGCGATTGTTTGCTAACCCCTATGACCCATTGAGCTACGCTGGGTGGCACTTTCCAACTGCCTTCAGAGCCACTCATACCAGATAGGTCAATGGTCAGGGGTCAGACTAACTCAGTCTCATAATCCAATCCTCTTCGGAAGTTAGGGAGAGGTCGATGGCCCACTTTTTAAAACCTGACATGGGAGACAACAGGTCTACGGGTTATAAGCTTACAGCTCGATTGGCCTAGAACACGAGCGCCACGCACTGTCTCTGGTGGTGTGAGGGCAGCTTCCGATTCTCAATGGTCTGCTACTGCTCACCTCAAGCTAGGCAGTCCCTTGTCAAATTAGTATAAATCCGCCAACTCCCATTTGCGTCTGGCCGTGGTCGTACGTGCGTAACAAAATACGTCATAAAACATGTGTGCACTGTTCTAGACCTTCAAATGCTGTGTACGACAGTCTCAAGCAGATCCCAACGGGCCTGCAATCACACACTTGAGCTGGACTTGCTCCCCCATTGCCTTGTGTATCAGACTGTCGAGTCAAAGGCTAGAGTCAGGGCACCTCGTACAAAACCGCTCTCTCGGAAGAGACAGCCGGAGAGTATTATCGGCCCTCACAACCGCGTCGACAATACTCCCTCTTCTCGTTTTTCTCTCAGCTTTCTTCTTCCCTGTCTCTTGAGCAAGAAACTGCCACTGACCTCGCAGCTGCTACCATCGATACATGCAGCTCTTCCGTTAAACCTGGTGTTTCATTTCACATTGGTTCCTTTAACGTCTGCACTCTAGGTCAGATGGACCATCAAGCAACGTCAACTCTCCCTCATCACCCCTGCATCATTTCAGAGGATGATACCGTCCAGGTCTCTTGGGAGAAATTCAAATCCTTTGAGATTTCTCTTCCCCATATTCCAATCTCAGTGAGGAATAGGGTGGGGGCAATACCACCTTGATTTGACCCAGGCACGCAGGATGCTCAGTAAGCGATTAGAAAGTACCTATTATCGCTACCAAGGCGTGCGAAATGCGTGTAAACAGCATCTACGGGCCGCACGTTTGAGGTATGAACTAGCACTGGCTCGATCCGCATCAACAAACCCGAAACGGTTTTTTGGCTACGTCAAACGGCGATGCAATGCAAATTCGCACTGAAGCATCAATCGATCAGGCAAAGGTCTGCTTACTTGCGGAACAGTATGCAAGGTCGTTTGTTCATGAATCTCCGTTGCCGAATATCGACTTAGAGGCAAAGATCCCAGTGGATTCCTTTCTGACGGATCTTTCTATCTCAGAAGCTCAAGTACTCCAGCTCCTACGTAACCTGAATCCCACTAAAGTTGGCGGGATAAATGCCCTCTATCCTAATCTTTTGTACGAGCTGGCTGAGTTGCTGTGTAGAACGATTACTTATCTCTTTGACAAGTCTCTTCGTTGCTGCTCACTACTTGCCGACGGGAGAGATACTATCGTGTGCCCTCTTTTCATGTAGGGTGATAAGCACCTACCTGAAAACTACAGACCGGTTAGCCTAACAAGTGTACTAGTTATAGCGTTACAGAATCTGATAACATGCTCTGGAGAAGCACTTGGCTAAGTTCAGCGTGCTCAGCCCATCTCAACATGGGTTCCACACAGGCCACTCTTGTTTGACTAACATGTTGGTAGCTCGAGAGTGCTGGGCTGAGGCTGTGGATCAAGGACAGGCGGTGGATGTTTTGTTCATTGACTTCTCTAAACCCTTTGACGTCGTACCGCATTGTCGTCTTTTGTTTTAATTGGAATCCTACGGCGTTTCAGGCCAAGTATTGAAATGGATTTCGGCTTTCCTGCAAAGTAGGCAGATGAGCGTTCGACTGGATTCCGGCCTGTCTTTCAGACAAGCTGTCCTGAGTGGTGTTCTTCAGGGGTCGGTTCTCCGACCTACTGTTTGCATTGTATGTGTACAATCTCCCTGAGAAGCTTAGGGTACCGTCCTTTATGATTGCGGATGACTTGAAATTTTTGAATACAGTGGGCGATTCCGATGGTCCCACGGCTTTGCAGACAGCAATTGACAAGCTTTGGGAAAGGTTAGCTTTGTGGCAGCTGCCAATAAACCTAGCCAAGTGTTCGGTCCTGCGCATAGGATCAAGCACTCCCACCACTCAGTACATACTTGGCGGAAATATATGCCTCAAATGATGGAACAAATCGACTTGTGTATCTCACACACACTATACACATCAGCTAGAGGTGGGAAACACCTCAGCTACTGTGCCGCAAACGACGACTGCTACTCGCGAGGGTTTCCGAATGCTGTGGATGATTCGCAGGTCGTTCGGCATCGTAAATGAAATGTGTGTTACATCGTTCTCAACTTTTGTCAGGCCATACTTGGGGTACTGCGTACAGGCCTGTCCTCCATGCTTGGTCTGCGACAAGATGGCAGTCGAACGAGTTCTGAGGATTGGCATGAAACTGGTGCACCTCGTATCCTGATAGGCTGCTCAGGTTGCAGATGTTTTCGCAGCACTATAGGCACCTTCGGAGAGACCTGATTCTTACGTACCGTATATTGACCGGCAAGATTGCGCCTGATCTAACTAGACTGTTCCATCTGGCTTCGATGCCATTTCTTCGTGGTCACTCTATGAAGCTGTATAAGCCCAGATCCGATCGCGTTAGAGCTGACTTTTGTTTATCACGCAGGGTCATCGACTCGCATTACCCAGCGAAGTCGTATTAGCACCAACGGGGAAGGAGTTTGGACATCGACTGGACGCCCTTTGGTTGCAGTTTAAGACCTTTCCGTTTGGTTCTTAACTTCCATTTCCTTGACTTCTTACCCCTTCTCACTATTATTGCCTTATCCACACATTCTCTCGTACTACAATTACAATTTTTCTGTTTTTGTTGCTTCCCTTCTCTTAGCTTTTATTCTTATTCACGTGGCCAGTACAGCGGGATTCCTAGTGCAGGCCACGTGGGCATTGATTGGTTGACCGTAATGTGATTGGTGCCTACTGATTTGGCTCACCTCGGTTTCAAATCGATCCTGCAAACTCTATCCTTGTTCACCGACGCATTAAAGAAGGAACACACGGGAATTTCCTACAGTTCCTGTCCAAATTGAACTTGAATTTGGTATTGATGTGTGCTGTCTCCGAAACGCGCATACAAGATCACAACGTTGTACCGAATCTTCGACTCCCTGGTTCTGCATCTGACGACAGTGACCACTCCGCGTCTCTGACGATACGGAATCAATAGCTCAAGGTATCAGCAAGCATGCTGGACGTAGTCCGCTCTAATGGATACCGGTAAACAGCCGCATGTGTGCGATTCGATTTCGAACCTCTATTGGAGTTCATAAGCACCGTATGAACACAAGGTGTTTTTTCATCGCCCCCGTTTATGCTCCTACTGACTGCAGTTCAAATGACACCAAAAATGATTTCTACTACCATCTTTCATCTCTTCGCTGCATGGCCAAGGATACTAACATCTTGATTGTTGCTGCTGACTTGAACTCATGTGATTCCTTGTTAATTTAAAAAACCACTTTACCATTCAACATTTCGCTCCTATTTGCAACAAGCGGAGTATTATTGTCACATTTGTGGTGGCCACTAAGTGGAGCAATATCAACTGGATGCGGGGCGCCATATGACTGTTGGGTATACTGTTTTACCTCAGACGTTCTCCTCCTTATCTCTCGTTGTAGCGGGGTTTTGTCTTCCATAATTTTCAGATTTTTGAAAGTCGTATTAAGCACAATGAGATAGCGCTTTTGAATGAATTGTTTAGCAATAGGTTCATTTTGAAACTGGATAAGTATGGGACACGCGTAACGCATTACATTTTTTCGTAGTCTAATGCAGCTGGACCAACAAGATTGCATACCGCATGCAGTGAGATGCACTTTCTGAACAGCTTTTAATGGTAAAATGTCTAGCACATTAAAACCACCGCATTGCGTGAACAGCGTACTCGATTATCTATTTCGGTCGAAATGGAATCTATCAATACACCGCACTTCATGGGGTCCATTTTATCAATATTTGGGGGCGATTCAAATAAGACAGCTAGACTCCGCAAAGGTTACAATATCGATGTGAGCATGTCGACTTTTAATGCAAGTTCCGCGTATACAGTTTCAGCTACTGATGGACATTTTTCAGGTCTCTTTCCCAGGTCAGCATTCAGTCCAAGGGAATTTCCTACAGCGCCTACACTGCTTTGGATATTTTCTTTACTACTGCTTCCAGCCTTTGTGCGAAATATCTTAGTTTGATGTCTAAGCTTTTGAACTAAAATAGAAGCATCTTGGCCCATAACACTTTTCTTCCTCATCTAGCGTGTCCTTACTGTAGACTTGATGATGAAGCCGAAGTAAGATACAATGAAACAAAATCAAATGAGCTAAGACAATGGGTGCTAACTTCTTATCTTTAACTGAAAATCCACGTCTAATATAATGCTGGTAAAAATGGCAACTCCCGAAAACTGTACGAGTTAATTAGGAACAAAAAGAACGCACCACAGTGAACTATTTGAATTTCCGCCTCCGAGTTGCACACACTGTTGTTTTGGCAACGCGATCTCTCTAC